ATATGGCATCTTAACTTCAATTGGCACCACAACTTCTGAGCTGTATGCTAGGTTGAATGAAGCTTTTCCTATTAGAGTCTTGTGTGTTGTTTTGTATGCCCATAAAGCATATGGTAACTCCTTCATCTAAGTTCTTTTTGTAAACCTTACCTTCTTCTTTAAACTTTCTAAGATTGCCTTATTTGCAGCCTCTGCTTGCCCATTAAACTTTGGAAAGCTACGGAAGTGAACCTTTGCTTAATTTACTGCAAACTCAAACCTTTTGTCTCTAATGGTGCTTTAATTGAAACTTTCACTCTATTTTTTTTTGTCTACTAGAAATCTTTGAAGGCTTCACTTGCAAATTACGTTATATTATTTGTAACTAGAATCCTTATTGGCACATAATGTGTTTTTTTAATGAACTTTTCTACCTTTTGTTCTATTATTTGAGCTATTATTTCTACCTCAATCCACTTAGTGAAATAGTTGATGACCACAATAAAGAACTTCTTTCTTCCCTTAGCCTTAAGGAAATGACCAAGGATGTCTATCCCTTGTTGAGCAAAAGGCCATGGGGCAACTATCATATGCAAAAGTTTAGCAAGTTGATGCTGAACATGGGCAAACCTTTGACATTTATCACACTTCTTCACATATGCTCTGACATCAGCTTTTAGTGTAGGTCGAAAATAGCCTTGGTAAAAGATTTTATGTGTTAGAGAATTTGTCACCATATGGCCAGAACAGAGTCTTTCATGCACCTTTTCCAACATCATCTGTGCTTCTACGGGTCCCAAACATTTCAATAACAGATGCGTGTAAGACCTACAATACAGTTGCTCATCAAGGATTGTGTACCAAGCAACCTTCCTCTGCAACCTTTCAGCTTCTTTTTAATCTTTTGGTAAGACTCCCTTTTTAAGGAAAGTGAGGGTTGGATCCACCTAGCTTTGCTCCTCTTGTGTTGAAAACTTATTTTCCATCATTATACTAGGTGAAGAAAGCATCTTTATGTAGACTTCCACTCTTGACGTGCCTAAACTTATGCTTGCCAGCTTTTCCAAGGCATCTGTTTAAAGGTTCTTTGACCCTCTTACTTGGCTCAACTCATATCCCTGGAAGGATTATAAAAATTGCATAGTTAGAGGCAAATATTGAGCCATTACCTAATCTGTTGCAATGAAGTGACAATTGACTTGGTTCACTATAAGTTATGAATCACTATAAATCCTCAAGTACTCTACTTCTGCCACCTTGACAAGTCTCAATCCCCCAAGTGCTTCATACTCTACACGATTATTCAATGCCTTAAAACTAAACTTCAATGCACACTCAAAAGTTTCTCCCTCCAAAAAAATTAAGATTATTCTTGATCCATTTCTTGTTGCATCAGAAGACTCATCAACATATAGGTTCCAAACAATGTTAAGGGGTAAGAGTTTTGTTGGTTTCTTCTGATTTGGAGCTTTCCTCTTAGATGCTACATCTATGGGCAGTGCCTACATTATAGCCTTCTCCTTACTTAACTCTACTATGAAATCTATGAGCACTTGTGCCTTCATTACTCTCCATGGCCAAAACTTTAATTCAAACTTCGTGAGCACAATACTCCACTTTACAAGTCTACCTGCCAAATCTGTCGTAATGGGTAATTAGTCAAAACAATTATTGTATGACCAAGGAAATAATACCTGAGACATCTAGTTGAGATAACTACAACATAAACCAACTTCTCTAAAGGCTTATATCTTGTCTCAGCCCCTTGCAACAATTTGTTGACAAAATACATAGGCTCCTGCTTGTTTTCATCTTCCCTAATCAATGCAGCACTAATTACCTCTATGCTTATAGTAATATCTAGGTACAATTTCTCACTTGGGACTACCTTACTTATTAATAGTCGAGATGATGATAAGTATGCTTTCAACTGATCAAATGCTCCCTAACAATCAAAGGTCCACTCAAAATGTTTACTACCATGCAAGGTTTGAAAAATAGGTAGGCACTGTTCTATAGATTTTGATACAAACCTGTTTGATGCAACTACCTTTCCCATTAGCTTCTAAACTTCCTTTCTTAAGGACAGAGGTTTCATCTCCAACACTACGTGAATCTTCTTTGGATTGGCTTTAATGCCTTTGCTTGTCAACATGAATCCTAAGAACTTCCCAACCTTAACGCTGAAGTGCATTTCATATGATTCAACTTCATGTTATGAGTTTTAAGTATTGTCAAGACTTGTTTTAGGTCTTTAATATGTTGGTCTAAGCTTTTGCTTTTCACCAAAATATCATCTATATAAACTTCAACAAATTTACCTTTTAGATATACAAATATCTTATTAACAAACCTTTGATAGGTGGCTTTTGCATTTTTTAGACCAAAAGGCATGACAACATAATAATAAATATCACATGCTACAATGAACGTCGTTTTATCCTTGTCTTCCTTTGCCATAGAGATTTGGTTATACCCAGAGTCTGCATCACATTAGCTCAAAACCACATAACCAAAGGAATTATCAACTAGTTCATTAATGTTTGGTATAAGATAGTTGTTTTATGGTGAAAACTCTGTTATAAGTTTGATTTCTGAAGGTGGACAAAACTGGCAGCCTGACCTTATATTAATATTATGACCATAACTTTCTTTATAGATGTCAGATTAAGATAATTCTTAATCCTATGAAAAGCTAAGACATGTGGTTACAATTTATCTATTAATCATTCAGCCCAGATTGATCAATTTCTGGGTGAAAATTCTATTGGAACTTCTGATTTAGAATTTGACCATAACTTACCCTTAAAAATACCCAGAATTTTGCTCTATTTTCTACTCAATTCCCACATTATCTACGTCACATCATATCATGGTTTTAGTAGATTTTTAGTTGTTGTTTTTCTACTCTAAAATCCCTTGTTATTGCTTTATTTTTGCTATCTTTTTGTTACTATTTTTCTGCTTAAATGTTGTCCATTTCTGCCCAGTTTTGGCTTGTATTCTATCTTATTTTGCTACTGTTTTTTTGCCCATAAATCCCTATTGTTTAGAGTTTTTTTCTAAGCATTTTGTGACTTCTTTAAATGGTAAAATCCCCCCACTTTGCTACCCAATATTTCTGCTGGTGCCTACAATAACTTTGAGCTCGATTTCTCACATTTTTCCATCGTATTCTGTCCAAAAAATTTGTTTGGAATACTTGCTATTATGTAGTGCCTTTTTGGAGCTGTTTTAAGCATATTCTAAGTATGATTAAACATATTAATATATTAGTGAGGTTTCAAAGGGTAGATGTGACCAGGAGGTGTAGGAGAAAGTTGTTTCTTTGGTTAAAAACTTGAGTCTAGAATTAGGAACCAAATTAGTTAAATGGAGTATGTTGTAATCTTGTTTATTCATTAATGTGGTATAGGTTCTAAATCACCTCAACAGCCTTGAGTTCTTGAATTCCTTGCTTGTTGTATACTTACAAGGCGAAATAAGTAAAATTATGATAAATGCCCTTGGATTTTAAGTTAAAAGTTTTAAAAGCATATTTTGAACTATTTTTGAGATGGTAACAGGACCTAAACT